TCGTTAACTTAAAAATTGAAATTCCTCAGATAATCCAAATTGGAAAACTGTGACATTTTCATGGGTATTTTTCGTGGTACTAAAATTCCTCGTGTTAGTTAATTGGTTAGCCAGTCAATCGATTACGTTACGCCCTGTCAGTGCCTAAAAAATAATAAACTATTCTATTTTGATCGTGAGGAAAGACAGAAAGATATACCAGAAACGCCATTTTGTTTAAGTTAGAAAAAGAAAGAAAGATAGATAGATAGATAGATAAATAGACAGACAGACATACAGAAAGACAAACAAGGCAAGACATAGGAGACGATATTTACGTCATGTCATATTTTTTAATGTTCCTCATTCAAAGGTCAAATACCTAACGGTAGTGTCAGAAAATGAAAGAAAGAAAATTAGATAGATAGATAGATAGATAGATAGATAGATAGATTAGACAAGACAAGACATCAGAGACGATAACGCTCTCATATTTTTAACACATTAAGTTCAAATACTTAACGGTGTGATGGGAGAATTTCAATGGATATTTTACTGTCGTTGAACTCGCCACGATCTTATCCAGTTATTAACTTAAAAATTGGAATTCCTCAGAAAATTCAACTGTGAAATTTCATTGGTATTTCTCGTGATATCATAATCCCTCGTGTTCTTTGTCAGTCAGTTCGTTCCATTTCATCCTGGCAGTACCTAAAAAATAATGAACTATTCCATTTTGATCACGAGGAAAGACTGAAGGATATATCAGAGATGCCGTTTGGTTTCATTGAGAAAAAGAAAGAAAAATAAGAAGATGGAGGAAGCGATAAGACTCACATGTTCTTAGCGCTTGCTTCAGAGAAAAGAAAAATATCTTGTAGAATAATAATGGAACAGGAAGAATGTTAGTTGGCTAGTGTTTTTAACCTGACGGGAAGTCAAAGATGACATCCTTTCGTGACGTAATCAAAAAACAACATTAATTCCAAACAAGAATGTCCATAATATATTCGTGGATACAATAACAATATTAAAGAGATTAACATTGAAAATAAACGTCTTAAATTAAATCCATTGAAATAAAAGAATTATTATAAATAAATCCGTATATATATATATATATATATATATATATATATATATATATATATATATATATATATATATTCACAGGATTTTCTCTTTTATCATTTTCATATTTATTCACAGTAAATAACATTTTTGTTTAGACGAAAACATGTTTTCCAATTTACCGGCAAGACGTTGGGATTCATAACGTTATTTTTGTGGGGTGGAGGACGAATTGTCAATTTTTAACCACAAAAATAATTATAAAAAATGAATGTTCCCATATATTTGATGATTATTTTGTACGTTTATTCTTTTTTTATGTATTTGTTGAATTCTATTATTATCATTGAAAATATGTATAATATTTCTTAAAGTCGTACATTTAATAACACTACGGTTCACAACGGCATCCACTGTAAATCAGTTGGGTTTCGATTCTAGCAAGAGGCAACCGGACGTCTAACTACACTGATGAGTTGTGATACAGCGAAACAGTCTGTCTGTGGATAACGATATATATATATATATATATATATATATATATATATATATATATATATATTAATTAAACATATACTACACTAAATCTAGTATATCCAACTTAATAATTCGCAATGATTCTTACCGCGTCCCCGTTAGCGATTTTCAAAAAAAACCAAATCAACACAGTTTACAAATTCAAGTGCCCTTTGGGAGATTGTATCTCCAATGGGTTAAATAATATTTATATTGGTCACACCACAAACTCGCTCTCACGACGCTTGACTCAACATTTGAATGTAAACTCTAACATTTTTAGGCATTTAAAACAACAAAAAAAAGAAGCTATATACATAAAACAGTTGAAACCTAACCTGAACAAAATAAACTAAAAAATAAACTATGAAATCTCCACAAATATTCTTAAATGCCCATAACTGATAACAGAAGCCATTGGTTTATACCAAGATCTTCCCATACTTAATACTTCTCGTTTTCACACTCGCGTGGTCATGTGTGACGTCACGAGCTGCGACGCGATTTTCGCTTCCGCGTCTCGTATACACGAGTTATTCGTTGCTTTGAAATTTTTAATGCAACAAAAACATACTATCATTGTGGTCTAACCTGCTTCGTCCGTGTATTGGTTGATATATTAATATCATCTTTGATAATGGCTTATATAATCCGAAAGTTTAGATTGTCTTTAAACATGTATCAATATGGTGATTTTCTTTCGTCTTTCAATGATAATGTTATTAAGCTTATCAGACAATATGAAAGCAACTTACTTAAAATAAATAAACAAAACTTCTCTATATTATTTAATGAAACATGCATTAATATATATATATATATATATATATATATATATATATATATATATATATATGCATAGGGGGCTCTGTATAGAAGTCGTACCTTTGACGTCTGACCGGATTCACATTCGGATGGACAGACATCATTGGTCCTCAACTATCTCCTAAATCTCTCACGTGACGGCTCCAAGTTGACATGCTCCGGTAAACCGAACTGACCAGGGTGGAAGTGTTCCTCTGATGGACTACAACGGCCAAGTGTTTGCGATCAAGGCGAGCCCACCTAGTTAGAGGAAATCGGTTGTGGTCTAACCTGGAGAGAGATGGGCTCCGGCTGGTTAAAACGCCCAAGGTAGGCCACTTGATGAGCCCACCAAGAACCTATTTGCGGAGACCCATAGCTCTGGCACACGACCGCGACAGATGGAGGAGAATGGTGGAGAGCTCAGCACGTCGGCGCCCCAACGGGCGAAAGAAGTAAGAAGAGGAGGAGGAGGAAGAGTAGGAGTAGAAGAAGAGGAGGAGGAGAAGGAAGAAGAAGAAGAAGAAAAAGAAGAAGTATGGGGAGAACACTCTCTCTGCCATCTTTTTTCTACTTATTAATGATTCCTGATTCTTAAATACGCCACTAGCTCCTATTTTCGAACAAAAGTTACTAGTCTTCCATATTCGTACGCAATTTCTCGTACGGCCTCCCTCCACTTCCCCTCTTCTTCGTTATTTTCATATTGAATCTTTTAATGTTCTTGTATTAATTAATCGAATTCTTGTTTTTTTTCTAATTTTCTGAATCTGTTTTGTCATGTCTCATTTCTTCTTTCTTTCTTTCTTTCTTTCTTTCTTACTTCCTTTCATTCTTTCTTTCTGTCATCACTTTTTCGTTCTTCTATATTTCTTTCTTTCTTTCTTTCTTTCTTTCTTTCTTTCGTTCGTTCGTTCGTTCGTTCTTTCTTCATTTCTTTCTTTCTTTCTTCCTTTATTTATACATTTATTTATTCATTTTGTATCTACCTTTCTTTCTTTTTATGTATTCTTCTTTCTTTCGTCCTTTCTTTCTTTTTTCTTTCTTTCTTCCTTTATTTATACATTTATTTATTTCATCTTCATATCTGCCTTTATTTCTTTTTTATTCTTTCTTTTTTCTTTCTTCATTTCTTTCTTTATTTCTTTCTTTCTTTCTTCATTTCTTTATTTCTTTCTTTCTTTCTTCTTTATTCATACATTTATTTATTTTATCTTTGTATCTACCTGTTTTTTTTTGTTTTTTCATTTATTTTTTCTTTTTACTTCATTTATTTATTCTTACTTTTTTTTCGTTTTTTTTATTTCTTTCGTTCTTTCTTTCTTTCCTTCTTTCTTTCTTTCTTTCTTCCATCTTTATTTATACATTTATTTACTTATTACGTCTTTGTATCTGCCGTTTTCTTTCTTTATTTCTTTCTTTCTTTTCTTCTTTCTTTCTTTCTTAGATCCATATAAATTGTCTGACGTTCTTTCTTTTTTCTTTCTTTCTTTCTTTGATCCATATAAATTGTCTGACGTTCTTTCTTTTTTCTTTCTTTCTTTCTTAGATCCATATAAATTGTCTAACGTTCTTTCTTTCTTTCTTTCTTTATTTCTTTCTTAGATCCATATAAATTGTCTAACGTTCTTTCTTTCTTTCTTTCTTTCTTTCTTTCTTTCTTTCTTTCTTAGATCCATATAAATTGTCTAACGTTCTTTCTTTCTTTCTTTCTTTCTTAGATCCATATAAATTGTCTAACGTTCTTTCTTTCTTTCTTTCTTTCTTTCTTTCTTTCTTAGATCCATATAAATTGTCTAACGTTCTTTCTTTCTTTCTTTCTTTCTTTCTTAGATCCATATAAATTGTTTAACGTTCTTTCTTTCTTTCTTTCTTTCTTTCTTAGATCCATATAAATTGTCTTTCTTTCTTTCTTTCTTTCTTTCTGTCATTTCCATCATTGTTTCCTTCTTTATTTTTGCTATCATTTTATTTCTTTTTCTCCATTTTGTTTTTCTCCCTTTCTTTAATCATTTCATTTTCTTTATTTCATATTTCATTATTTTTCTTTTCTCTTTCCTTTTTTAGCGTCCATCTCTCTTTATCTGCGTTGTTTGCTTCCTTCAGCTGTTCTTCCCTTTTTCATTCGTTCTCTCTTTCGTTCTTTCTTTTGTTCGTTCGTTCGTTCTTTTCATCTTTCTTTCTTTCTTTCTTTCTTTCTTTCTTTCTTTCTTTTCTTCTTTCTTCCTTTTTTCTGTTCCATTCTTTCGTTTCCTTTATTTTTCTTTTATTTCTTCAATTTTGATACATTGAATTTGTCTTCATTCTTTTTCTTCTCTCTTCCTTTTTCGATTTTCCGCCTTTTTTTCTTCGTCGTTGGTATCGTTCGTCTGTTGTTTTTCTTTCTTTTTTTTTTCTTTCCTTTCATCATTGTTTGTTTGTTTGTTTGTTTGTTTCTGTTCATTTACATCCTTACCCTTTTTTTCCTTTGTAACTTCTTTTTTTTACACTTTTTTACCTCATTGCTTTTCTCCTTCATAAGGAAAACATTTCCTTTTGCCGCCATTTAAATAGTTTTTTTTCTCCATATACCCACTCAATATTTTTCTACTCTGCAACAAACTTTTTGACCTAGAACCTATGCCTCAGAAATGTTTTCCACAATACTTTCTTTTATGATCCACCCGCAGCCAAACATCTTTCTTCTTTTTTTTTACTCTACCCGAAAGAGTGTAATTTTTTCTTTCAGACATATAGAATTTTCCCTTTTCCGAAAAAAAAAAAAAAATTCTCCGTTCCTTCAAAAATTTTCCACCTGATACAATAGTTTTTTAAATCTATCTTCTTGTTGAGCGCGACGTACAATCGATAAAACCTGCATTCAATTTTGGCAATGCAGAACGCAGGAATAAGTTGTATTATTATTTACCCAGCCTCCATTATTTGTTTGTATTCATGACAATTTTTTTTTTAAATTTCTTTTTATTTAGGAATCTTCCTTCCTCGTCACGGATCGTTCTTTCACGATTTTTTTTTTTTGATTTTTTTACCTTATTTTGTTTGACGTTCATTATACCTTACTGAATATTCCTGTGTGTATTTTTTAATTCTTGCCTTAAATCATATTTTAAATATATTTGTAAATGTTCGTTTTTTTTTTACTTTATTCGATTATTTAAGTTTTATTATGTAATTCGAGATTATTTTTTTTTAATCTCATGATTTAAAATATATATGTTTTTACAGGGAATATATATCTAATTCTTGGGGATATATATTTAAATATATTTTCTATTTATACGGTTTTAATGGATACATTTATTTCAGTAAATGCTCTGTTTTTTTTTTAATTAATCAGTATTAATTACAGTTACCGGTCAGAATGTTCGAGAAATTTCGTAGAAAATATGCATTCTCCAAGAGGAAATGGACCTGTATGTTCTGAGTAACCATCATTTAGTCTGACGTGCTATGGCTGTTCAACTACAGAGGATATCCGGTTAGCAAAGCTCGAATTGCTGATTGTACCCATTTTCACTGATTTGCCTAGATGTATAATATTTGCTCTGAAATTCTAGCCTTATGTAAACAATGACAATATATTAAATGAAATGGATTAAATCCAAGATATATTTTAATATATTTTCTGTTTAAACGTTTTTAATGGTTACTCTTATTTGAGTATATGCGCTGTTTTTTTTTAATTAAATAATATTAAAAACATTTTATTCATAAATTTATAAACATTTATTAAATTATTAAAATATGTGAACCAACTTATGAAGAAATCCTTATTTATTATTTGATTATAATAATTTATGCGTTGTTTACACATTCCCCCACGAGAATGAGATGTGAGACAAGGTCGGATTAATGTGGGGAGCCCGAGAGCATGCACCCGGGCAAGGAACACAAATTCCCCTCAGCTCCCGCAACCGTCGGTTGCGCGGACCAGGGTGCGAACACCGATCCCTCCCTCTTGTGCAATAGGAGGGCGCGGCCTCGGGCAGCTGTTCTTCAGGCACCTCTTCAGTATAATTTTCCTCAGTTGCCCCTCTGTCCTTTGACAGAGAAGTCCCTGAGCGCACTCTGTCTATGCGGTATTTACTTGTCCCCCACGAGGTCAGGTTGTGACACAAGGTCGGTTTAATGTGGGGAGCCCAAGCACGTACACCCGGGCAAGGAACAAAAATTCCCCGAGCTACCGCAACCGTCGGTTGCGCTGGCCTCGGTGTGGGCACCGATCCTTCTCTGTAGTGCAATGAGAAGGCGCGGCCTCGGGCATCTGTTCCCCAGGGCCATTCACCTCTCAGTATAATTTTCCTCAGTTGCGACTCTGTCCTTTGACGGAGTCGCCCCTGAGCGCACTCTGTCCAACGCAACTGAGAGATTATAAGTAATGTCCATAAATTATAGTAATTTGTGCGTAACGTGCTCAATCTCTGTATTATATATTATCTAATTCTAGGCGCTATCACGCTTCAGGTTGAACTAATTTGCATATTGTTTTTTTTAAAACTTTATTTCATTAATTAACTGTCCTTCATTATTCTTTTATTCGAGGATTGTTTTGATTTTCATATCAAAAATAGTTCTGTTTAGGAATATCATTTAATATAGTGCAGAAAAGCGGTTGAAATTTGCATTTGTCTTGGCCTTCAACAAGTTAGCATCTATTTGTAAAACTTTCCTTAACTATAGCAAGCCAATTTATGAATGGAACGTTCATTTAAAATTTTTGCTTCAAAGATTTCAAGTATATCTTACTTTCTGAAGCGATAGCGAGCGATCGAAGCCTGCTAATAATATATGAAATTGTTTAAATCCGACAAATATTTTAAACATAAACAGAAAATATATCAACACATAAGTCGAATTTAATGTGGCTGAACGGTTATATCACGTTAACAGAAAATATATCAACACATAAGTCGGATTTAATGTGGCTGAACGATTATATCACGTTAACAGAAAATATATCAACACATAAGTCGGATTTAATGTGGCCGAACGGTTATATCACGGTAAGAGAAAATATATCAACACATAAGTCGGATTTAATGTGGCCCAACGGTTATATCACGTTAACAGAAAATATATCAACACATAAGTCGAATTTAATGTGTCCGAACGGTTATATCACGTTAACAGAAAATATATCAACACATAAGTCGAATTTAATGCGGCCGAACGGTTATATCACGGTAACAGAAAATATATCAACACATAAGTCGGATTTAATGTGGACGAACGGTTATATCACGTTAACAGAAAATATATCAACACATAAGTCGGATTTAATGTGGACGAACGGTTATATCACGTTAACAGAAAATATATCAACACATAAGTCGGATTTAATGTGGCCGAACGGTTATATCACGTTAACAGAAAATATATCAACACATAAGTCGGATTTAATGTGGACGAACGGTTATATCACGTTAACAGAAAATATATCAACACATAAGTCGGATTTAATGTGGCCCAACGGTTATATCACGGTAACAGAAAATATATCAACACATAAGTCGGATTTAATGTGGCCCAACCGTTATACCACGTTAACAGAAAATATATCAACACATAAGTCGGATTTAATGTGGCCCAACGGTTATATCACGTTAACAGAAAATATATCAACACATAAGTCGGATTTAATGTGGCCGAACGGTTATATCACGTTAACAGAAAAATAATATCAACACATAAGTCGGATTTAATGTGGCCGAACGTTTATATCACGTTAACAGAAAATATATCAACACATAAGTCGGATTTAATGTGGCCGAACGGTTAATTTTTAGTATGTTCTAAATATCATTTTATTCTTATAAATAAATAAAAAACATCATTAGATTTGACGTGATTTGACTTCTCGGCTACAAAGTGCGTGACGACAAAGCCGAGAGGTAAAATCACGTCAGATCTAAGAATAGTTTTCCCGAGGGGAAAGCCGGTTCGAATCTTACCGGTCTGCATATATTTTCTTTAATAATATTCCTCGAACATTCATGCCTTTAGACGAAAGTAATTAAATATACGGTTTAATAAATAAACGGAGCGTTTAGTCGAATACATGTACCCACTAAATTTCAAATTTAAATAATAAAAATCTATAATAAAAAAAAAAATCATTTATTGGAATGGTTGCCAAAATATTGGCTAATTGCCAAATGATTCGAATTTTATAAAATGGTAAGTAATAAAGATTTCCTTATTATTGGTTCACCTATTTTAATAATTTATTAAATGTTCATAATTTTAGGAATAAAAAATTGTTTTCAATTTATTCTTTATAAATTGGTAAAAATATTGCATTGTATTACTTCTAAATCTATACATTTTTAGAATGTTATAAATATAAAATTATTCTTGTAAATAAAAAAAAAATATAAATAAATACCGTAATTCCCCATGCATAATAAGCATTTTTTTCTAGAAAATAATAAGCAAAATCAAGGGTGCGTATTATGCACAGCTACAAAAAATATTTTTAGAATTATTTTAAAAATAAGAATTATCATAGAAAAATATTATTCTATGTTTAAAACCATTTTTTTTAATAAGAGTAGGAAACGCTGGCCGAAATAAAATTGGAGAGGCTCAATTTATAGAGTTTGATTACCAAACAAGTAGTGCGTATTATGCATGCGTAGAAGTTTTTTCCCACATATATTATGCGCATAAAAATGTATAAATTCACTTCCACCGTATGTTCAGGTTTTATTACAATTCTAATAATCGCTTTTTAAATCAATAAACATTGACGAAGAGTTTTTAAAAAGTGATGTTACTTTTGACTTTCAGTCTTAGTGCCGGCACGTTTGCCTATTTTTGCCAAAGAATGAACTAAAAGGATTGACCTTTCGATCCATATTAAATTACTAGCAGTAGAGCCCGGCGTTGCCCGGGGATGTAACAGTAAGAGATAGATCAAGTATTGACCATCATAAAGACTGAAAAATAAAATTGACAAAGATTATTGTTTAAGGTTGACGGACACGCATGTCTTAATTAGTTTTTTTTTTTTAGGAATTGGTCAAACTCAAACAAAAACATTGTTTTCAATCGTTATTAGTCGAACCGATTGAATAGAATTTTATTATAAACAGTTGTCTTATAAATGGAATTTTTAAAGCATTCTGAATGTAAAAATAAAGGAAAAAGTGTGCGAGACAGTAAGAAACACTACCTGCCAAAAAAAGTGAAGTTTTATTCAAATCGGTTGAAAAATGTAGGAAATCCGATCCCATATATAAACGAACACACACACACACACACACAAACAACCTAGGTTTTATAATAAGTATAACTCGATATGAGTTGTCTCCCTTTGATTCTCGCGATAGTGAAGCCTCTTAATCGTGTTTTCAAATTGATTTCGGGCAAAAACAATTGTGTTTTTCCACTTTTTGGTGTTGTCAGAACCATCGCAAGGTAATTTTACGTAGTTCTGTGAAGGTTTTTTGAAATCGGTTGAAAAGTGTAGGAAATCCGATCCAATATATAAACAAACACACACACACACACACACACAACCTGGGTTTTATAATAAGTGTGATGCCCTTAATAACATAAGGTACGTAATGACACAATACTGATAGGAGACACGGAAAAAATTACAAAGCCTACTACAGAAGGTAGCAAAGGAAAGGGAGAATAAGGGACTAAGCATAAACTACAAGAAGACATGCATGGTCATCAGTAAAAGGATGAGCCCGAAATGCGATTGGTAGATCGGGAACACTAAAAACTGGGAAGTGTTTTGACAGAGGGCGGCAAGTGCGACATTGAGATCTGTAGACGCAGTATTAACACGTTCCCCCCACTTGGACGAGATGCGACACAAGGTCTTTTTACGTGGGGACCCAGGCGTGTACACCCGGAACAACGACAAAAATTGTCCTCAGCCCCCGCAGCCGTCGGTTACGCTGGATCGGTGCGAGCACCGATCGCTCCCTCTCGTGCAATGGGAGGGCGCGGCCTCGGGCAGCTGTTCCCCAGGGCTGGGCACCTCTTCGGTATGATTTTCCTCAGTTGCCCCTCTGTCCTTTGACAGAGAAGCCCCTGAGCGCACTCTACCCAAAGACAGAGACGCAACTGAGAGATGATAAGTTTGCGTTGAAAATCCCTATAAGGAGGGATTTATATGACTGTAGACGCATTGAGATGGCCAAGGACGCATTCCAAAAGCTGGGCAGAGTATTGCGAGACAGGAGGATTTCTTTGGTAACAAATAAAAGAGTACAGAGCTGTTACGTGACATCCCCGCTTCTTTACGGCAGCGAATGTTGGTCGATTTACTCAAAGATGAAGAAGAGAATCGAGGCGATAGAGATGTGGTTCTACAGAATGATGCTGAGGATATCCTGGACCGCGCGTGTGAGCAACGATGAGGTTTTGGAGAAGATTCAAACAAGGAGGAGGCTTATACTTAAATATCAGGAAGAGGCAGCTGAAGTTTCTGGGACATGTAATGAGAAAGGAGGGTTTGGAGAATCTGATACCCAAAGGTCGAATTGTGGGAAAGAGAGACAAGGGAAAACAACACGTAACATACCTGGCGGGCTTAAGCAAGTAGATTAGATGACAGAACGTGATCTGGGTTAGGTGACAGATGGACGAAACTTCTTGAGAGCTACAGGGTATTGGGGAAATTTAGAGAGCCATGATCGCATACGTCCTGTAATGATAAGGTCACATAAAAAGAAAAAGAAGGAAAAAAAAACAACTAAATTCTCATAGCGCCGAGATTTCCCATAGGTCTCCAGTTCTGGGTGACATATGACCTTCTTTGATAACGAGTTTGTTTCCATGGGTAAGCATTGATTTCTTTGATGTTTTTTCTTTGTATACATATCATGTCACAATGAGTTACGTGATGATGTGTTAGTTATCTTTTTAGTATCGCGTCTGAATGAAGTGAATTAAATACTGCTTCGAGCTCTCATAATTAAAAAAAAAGAAATTAGTATATTGTTCTATCTAGCTATTTCATTCTTTATATATATATATATATATATATATATATATATATATATATATATATATATATATATGTATGTATATCCTTTATTTTTCTTTCTTCATTATCTATATAGCTATCTATCTCATCGTTTCTTACTTTAATATCTATCTTTATTAACTTACGCTTCTTTCTTGATGATCGTTCTATCTATCTATCTATCTATCTATCTATCTATCTATCTATCTATCTATCTCATTATGTTTCTTTCTATCTATCTCATTATGTTCCTTTATCTATCTATCTATCTCATGTTTCTTTCTTTATCTATCTATCTATCTATCTATCTATCTATCTATCTATCTATCCTAGTCTCTTCATATCTATCTATCTATCTATCTATCTATCTATCTATCTATCTATCTCATGTTTCTTTCTGTATCTATCTATCTATCTATCTATCTATCTATCTATCTATCCTAGTCTCTTCATATCTATCTATCTATCTATCTATCTATCTATCTATCTCATGTTTCTTTCTTTATCTATCTATCTATCTATCCTAGTCTCTTCATATCTATCTATCTATCTATCTATCTATCTATCTATCTATCTCATGTTTCTTTCTTTATCTATCTATCTATCTATCTATCCTAGTCTCTTCATATCTATCTATCTATCTATCTATCTATCTATCCATCCATCTATCTCATGTTTCTTTCTTCATCCATCTATCTATCCTATCCATCCATCCATCTATCTATCCATCCCTAGTCTATCTTCTATCTATCTATCTATCTATCTATCTATCTATCTATCTATCTATCTATCTATCTCATGTTTCTTTCTTTATCTATCTATCTATCCATCTATCTATCTATCTATCTATCTATCTATCTATCTATCCTATCCCAGTCCCCTCTATCTATCTATCCATCTATCTATCTATCTATCTATCTTCTTTCTTTATCCATCCATCTCATCTATCTATCCATCTATCTATCCATCTATCCCTAGTCCCCTCATCTTCATATCTATCTATCTATCTATCCATCCATCTATCTATCTATCTATCCATCTATCTATCCATGTTTCTTTATCTATCCATCCATCTATCTATCTATCTATCCATCTATCCCCTAGTCTCTTCATATCTATCTATCTATCTATCTATCTATCTATCTATCTATCTATCTCATGTTTCTTTCTTTATCTATCCATCTATCCTAGTCTCTTCATATCTATCTATCTATCATCTATCCATCTATCTATCCATCTATCTATCTATCTCATGTCTTTCTTTATCTATCTATCTATCTATCTATCTATCCATCTATCATCCATCTCATCCCTATCCCTTTCTCTTCATTCTATCTTCCATCTATCTATCTATCTATCTATCTATCTATCCATCTATCTATCTCATGTTTCTTTCTTTATCTATCTATCTATCTATCTATCTATCTATCCATCCATCCATCTATCTATCCCTAGTCTCTTCATATCTATCTATCTATCTATCTATCTATCTATCTATCTATCTATCTATCTATCTATCTACCTCATGTTTCTTTCTTTATCTATCTATCTATCTATCTATCTATCTATCTATCTATCTATCTATCTATCTATCTATCTATCTCATCTTCTATCTATCTACCTCATCTATCTTTATCTATCTATCTATCTATCTATCTATCATCTTTCTTTCTTTATCTATCTATCTATCTATCTATCTATCTATCTATCTATCTCATCTTTCTTTCTTTATTTATCTATCTATCTATCTATCTATCTATCTATCTATCTATCTCATGTTTCTTTCTTTATCTATCTATCTAGGTATCTATCTTTGGCATTATTTCTTATTCTCTATATCAAGTCGTTTAATACTGATTTACATATCTATTTCCGTCAATCCATCCTAGTCGCGACGCATATCAATTTATTTATTGATTTACTTATAAAATAAGTCAAATAATGCCTTTAGATTAAACCATAAATAATTCCCATTGTTTTTTATCAATATATTCTAAAATTTCATGTTATTCAGTCCTATATTTACCGCCATTTGCAATGACCGTTGGCCACGCACTGAACTGCTCGTGAGAATTCCGACGATTTCTTGAATCCCATCAAAGAATTTCGCGCCGATCTAAAAGAAATCGAATAATCGATCACTGTAAAATCAGGTAAATATCGCCGATTAGGATAGCCTAACCAAGACCAACTAAGTTTTAAATGTGTTTCCTCTATCATTCCTGCTGTATACGGCCTTGCGGAATGAAAACAGCATCGACTTTATATTTATGGACACGACGTATAATTGTGCATTTAGCATTTCATTGCTTTATAAGATCTCAAAATTAATGATATACCGACGATCTCATTGCAGCAATTTCTCTTCCCAAGAGCTTGGAGGGTAATTTGTGCAGATTTATCTTTGCCAATTCCACTGAACATTGTTGTATGCAACCCACTTTTCATCACCTGTTATTCATTTCCATGGAACTGTTTGTTCTTTACTAGCTTCCAACGAACTTTAAATTTTTCGTGCTGAAAATTAATATAAAAAAAGCCCTTACCAATCTCTTCCCAATGAGACCGATATGGAGCCGACAATCACGTTTGATAGTGAGCCACTGAATTCCTGTTGAGTTTTCTTTACCTCGAAGCCATGATTAATAGAGACGCCACCGAAATCATACAAGACCGACATCAACAGACGGAGCAAAGCAACAGGTGCTGCTCCTCGTGTCCTGAGAAGCCAATAATAATAATAAAAATAAGAAGATTCTGTTTTGCTTGTTTGTTTTACGGCATATCAACCTCAATGAGTTATTTAATGCCGACAAAATTTTTTTATTGCTGATAATGTTTTTCTTCAAAAATCTATTTCTGGGAATATTTTTCCTTGAAGAAATCTATAGCTAGTCATAATTTTTTTAAAGAATGTATAATTGTTTGTATTGCTGGTATTTTTTTAAAGTATTGCTGATAATAATTTTTCTTTCAAAAATTATTCGTGGTAATAATGTTTTTTATTACAAAGTATTTCTGGTATTAAAACCTATTTTTACACAAGTTTGATTTGGTTTGGTTTGTTTTACATCGTATCAAACACAATAGCTTATTTAATGCCGACTAAATTTCCTTTTATTTTTCAAAAATGTATAACTGGTAATTTTTTTAGAAAAAATTAGTTTGGTTTGTTTTGTTTTGTGGCATATTAACCTCAATGGGTTATTTAATGCTGACAAGATTTTTATTTCTGGTAATATTTTCTTTTTTCAAATATTTAAACCTGATACTAATTTTTTAAAAAGTATTTCTGGTATTAAAATCTATTTTTACACTTTCATAGTGTTTTGAGTCAGTTTATGGGGTCAACTATTTGCCCACATCTGAGACCCTAACAGGTGCTACCACCCCGGGTCAGGGTTGACCTGAGAACGTCAGCAATTAAGAGGTGGTTCCACGCTCTTCAAAACCTCCTGATTGTTAGCCATTTTCATGACGGTCGTCTTCGAGTATAGAATCCAGAGGTTGGCAGGGAATATTTCGGAGACAGTAGGAAAGCGTAGTGCAGGTTCGCAGTGGATATCACAGCAGAGTGTAGTTCTTCCTTCTGTCATGTTCGCCGGACAAGTTGCATCTGGTCATTCCGGTAGGAGAAACAAAGATGACCGCCTTTATACACGAGGGATCCAGTGTTCTGCGGCTCCTGATTGGTTAATCTTCTATTGGTAGACTATAAAGGGAAATAAGTCATTTTGACTCGCTCACTAGTTATATGTAATATACACAAAAAACCGTAACACTGATCAGAGGTCTTGCTGCTGAACGTAGTTTTTCGTCTTACCCAGGACGCGGATGTAGTTTGACGTCATACCCGGACGGATACTACTACTACTACTACTACTACTACTACTACTAATAATAATAATAATAATAATAAGAAGAAGAAGATGAAGAAGAAAGACTAAAACATCGGAAAATTGGCATTATTTTTTACCAATTGACAGAGTATGTCTGCACTTAATATGCTAAAATATTAAAAATTAAAAATATTAGACTGACTCATAAGAAATCCCCAAATTGTGATGCTTAATATATCAACCGAGCAGACACAATCGGCTGTTCGTAGTATACGACAAAGCCATGAGAACGAGATTCATCTGGTTTGAATTGTATGACGGCCATGTCTCCGGGCCGATGCTCGCTTGTAACTGGCCAGCCTCAGTGCCTCGATTATTGCTACACCCTTCAGCGAGCGATATGCAGGCACGTTCGAAGCCAGCTTCTTCCATTTGTCTACATCGATCTGCGTCACTTTCATCGTTTTCGCTCGTCGTCGCTTCACGGCAAACGATAGACATTCCCAGTCTATCGCAGTTTCATTGCCGCTAGCAAGGCTTCTGCAGTCAACATCGTTGGCTCAGGCAAGGACATCGGTGATAGGAACATTGCCCTTCCACGTGGTATGCATAATGCATTACAAACTTCTCAAACGCTTGATATCACTACAGTGGAGGTTCCAGGACATATATCATGTTTTTGATGCAAACCGTTCGATAGTCTTGCACTTGGTAACGTGCTTCATATCTCCCTGGTCTTCTTCAGGCCACAAAGAGCAGCACATGTTGCTAACCTTCACTATGTCTTTTGACAATTCACAAATTTTACGGTTACATGGCATTTATTCCACATATTCGTTTTCACCATTTTATATCGTTCTCTCCCTCCACCTACAGTTGATATTGTTTTCTTTAAATATCATATTCTACTGATTTCTATCTGGATGTCCATGCATTTATTTAGTTTCTGAAGCATTTTCAAAGATCTGTTTTTGTGGGCTGGTTTGGTTTATTCCGTTTAAAGGCATATAAACCTCAATGGGTGATTTAATGCCAAGAACATTTTTAGGATAGATTCGTATGAATAGAATATGTATTCTTTGGTTTAGATTGGTTTTGTTTATTTTGTTTAACGGCATATCAACCTCAATGGGTTATTTAATGCTGACAATTTGTATTGCTGGTAATATTTTGTTTTGTCAAATATCTGTTTCTGGTAATATATTCCCTTCAAAATTGTATTGCTTGCAATACTTTTTTTTCAAAAAAAGTTTTGCTCGCAATAGTTAACTATTTGCTCATAGCTGGGACCCTTGCAGGTGCTACCACCCCGGGTCAGGGTGGACCTGGGAACACCAACAATGAGGAGGTGGTTCCCCGTTACTCAAAACCTCTTGATCAGAGGACTTACTGTTGGACGTAGTTTAACGTCTTGCCCAGGACGCTTTTTGTAGGCTGGGACGGCAACATATCTAAAATGACATGTATTTTCCCCATGATTTTTTTTTACAATTACCTCTGGTCGATTTCTCTAGATTTCCCGATCAGTCTGATCGCTGACTTTTCAATTGATAGCTAGCTCGTCATTCTGTACAGTTTGTGATTTTTTAAGGTACCTGAAAATTTTCTTTTCCAGTGACGTTTAATGTGCGAAATATTGATCAATATATA